GCGACACTGCTTATGTACCGGAGATCTAGGGACATACGTATATGTATATATGTATATATATATGTATATATATATAGACCATATAAATTAAAACGGATAGATCAAATACTAACCTGAGAAGAAAACAGTCGAGCCTTAACGAGGTGCGGGAGGAAGAACCAATAATGCGAGTATTACCTCGTTATAAGATTGCACATAACATTCCTGGTGGTTACAATTTATTATTCTACAGAATCCGGGGTTTCTTCGGTCAGACGAAACTACAATGGAAGTGCAAAGTACCAAACACCACTCGGTCGGGTTTTCACGCAAAATCAACCGAAGGGATAAGTGAAAGGCTCTCTGGAGAAAGCCCAGTGGATGAAGTGTGTCTCCGTAGGGATTATTTTTCCACAGCCAACTCCAGACGGGTTTCAAGTTCACACTACACAGTAAGATTAAGACTGTTGACCGACATACAAGAGAAGGCTTCCGTTTTCTAATCAACACAGTTGATTTCCAGAGAATACCTAGCTAGAATCTACGTGCATGGTGCTGATTGACCTTTCTTGGTAGCTTGTAAACCGCCTGGCCTACTGACTGAAATCGGGTCGGTATAGGGCAAATTTTGAAGCTTCATCTGAAGCGGTCTTTTCAAATTTTTTTTAAGAAAATTGTCCTAACAATCTGGATACAACTTAACTATTTTTAATATTCGCACAAAAATTGCTAGGAAGTATCTCTCGCTTAGTAAATTCGGGTGACAGGTGACAGTTCAATATGTGTTTGGCAAACCAAAATCCAGGTCAAACGTTGTCTCAGAAACCTCATTATTCCATCACCTCCAGCACAAAGTTTTTGTGCGCCAGCTGGATTCATGTGCCAAACAACGTACCCAATTTTCACAAACTAATCCTATGTCTGTTGAGCTTGCTGTCTCATGATAGAGCCCTGTCTAATCAACTAGTAATGGCAAAGTGAAATGACGCCGTGTGAATGTCCCTTCCATGACGATATCGATGTGATTATCTATTCATTCACTCTGAAGCCTGTGCCGATCCCACTCATTTAAAGCGGGGCGCATCTAACAGGAAGCCGTCCATGTGAAATTCTCAACAATCAGACGTTTGAAAACTCGCATAAAAACCTGTAACATAGTTGTCACGAGTATACCCCTGGTCTTGATAACTGAAAATGCCCCAAAACCGCAGGTGGTTTACTATTTTTAATGAACGTGCGGGACCGCCTGCTTTAGTGACTTCGGATTACTCACAGATATCGATCAAAGACATCTCTCACTGGAACTAGGTAAATCTCAATAAACAATAGACACGCTAATCAGGGCCACAAGAACCCCAAAGGAGCATTGCCTGATTACTATTCTGGGCCGTAAATCCATCATCCCGATTTCTTTTTCTAGACTGGTTTGCCCCATAACTTCGATGCAACGAGAGCCGTATAACTGAAATTATACATTATGTGGTCCGTCTATTTTAGCTGATCAGGCCCCCATAACACATTTCAGCAGTGATATACTCGTTATTTTTATGTCTGTAAGCAATAACCTCAAGCCACTACTGCACAGTTGTTTGGCGAACTAACCAGATGTTCATATATTCACACAAAAAAGATTTAATTCGGACAACAACATTTAACTTCGATCCCCTCGATTTTGCTTTCGGGTTGGATCCGAACAGATAAAAGTTTTATACAGAGTGTTTATCACAGCTTAACAACAGTCCATTATGTTTTATCATGCCAGACATGTTAAAATGGTAGTTTCAGCCCGATACAGTTTTGTTCCAGAGTACAGTATAAGGCTTCATTCACCAGTAGCAGTTTTTCGCTTAATTACAGGCTTCCGTTTGGTAATTGTGTTCTGTGAATGAAACACGCTTTGACATGTCATATATCGTGCCAAAGGAAACATGAGAAAGCTTGTGTGCAGCAGTCGGGGTTATCATAAACAGTAGGTTTATTCAAGTCCCTGGTTGATACAATGTAAGTTGCATCAGGGTATAGTTTGGCGACAACGGGGACCCGTTGTAAATTCACACTGTTTCTATGGGTGTGCGACTCTGAGTTTTATGCTGCAGCTTGGAAAAACTATATAATTTCTTGCTACATATAGGTTAACTACACTGTAATAACTGCGACATTTTTTCAGTTTTACCTGACGCCACCACATTCCGTTCAGCACACATTGTACAAAATACCGGCCGACGATCTTGTTATCACATATACGTCAAAAATCATGGCAGAAAATATTCGACTGAGATTTGTCAGATAAAGAGGAATCTTGAGGGAAATGTGAAGTTTCTCAGTCTGTGATTCACAGATGTAATCACAATAAATGCCAGCTAAAGAAGGTGCCAAGGTTGATTGCATTTTAAGAAAGGTGAAAATTATTTTAAGAATATATTCTAGACGTCTTGTTTTCTACTAAATTCCGGGGCACATCCACTGGCCAGAACCCATGCGTGAATATCTGTTGATGATTCGTCTCAATCTTTTGATGCTAACTTTGATACCACAATACCATGAGTTTTTCTCGTACGTGTAGGTGTTCATCGACAGAAAACACCGAAGACCGTTAGTATTTTCATTGCCAGTCTTACGAATTTACAAAGCATCCTCTAAATGATGAGTTCCGAGAGTCTCTGTGGTAGCCCGAATATGCTAGAAGTTTAGAGAGACATCTTGATTGTCATGCATTTTCACCCGTAAAATTGACGCATAGGACAAATTTGGGGGAAGAATTTGTCACAGGTAGAGTTGCTTTGTTATCGATCACTAGGAAAGGTTGCATTGAAAACCAGCAGTTATTATCGGAGTAACTTACTTTTGCCATTAAAAAACGTTGAACATTTAGGAGTGCGTCTCACAAAATTTCAAAAGAGGTAAATCTGAGTCGAAACCTCACTGAGAAGAACTTGGGCGTTCAAATGACAATTCATTAGGTTTTTGCGTCAGTGGGCAATTCATTTGCCACCAGTAAGGCTTGTATGCAGGGCAGTTTAACGTACCTTGTGACCGGAATTAAACTGTCTTTCAGTGGATATACACATATATTATATATATGCATATATTAGATAGATTACCCTGGTGGAGATCTGCTACGATGTTTTCAAACCAGAAAGCATAGGACACTGTCGAAGTTAATGCATCAACTTTTAATGAGTTCATTGGTTTTGTCACTGTGGTGCTAGACGGAACCTAAATAACCATAGCAACTTGAGATGAGATTCTACTATACAGTTAACAGGAGTGACCAAGCAATGCGGATCCCGCGACTGAAGTGCGAGTTAACCAAACTGCTGACTAGCCACTCGTGGCCGAGGTATCTTGCATTCGAGACACTTTAGAGTTCCATTAGCTGCGCACCGATGATGAATACCAGGGAAAATGAAGCGCATTTGGGCTTTCCAGGACGTAATCTCCATCAGTGTTAGCCACAATGTATGGTAATGGGATCCACTATACACTGTTCGACTGTTAGCCTGTACAGTAGAGACTCAATTTGGGCTGAGTTGCATAATGACCTCTGTGAACTTCTACCTTGGTCCAAATATTTCATTACAGCTCTCGTAGGCTTGGACTTCGTGGCCGCTGGACTAAAACAGATATCGAACGATAAAATATTTATTTCCACAAACATGAAAGGAGGTTGTTACTCACAGTGCAACTGAAACATCGGACACTTTGTTAGCATTTGCAGTCTCATAGAATCATTCAGCCCAAGTAAGGTGACTTCAGAAATCTGGTATGTATAACATTACACGTATATATGTAATATGAAAATGATACAGCTGCAACTGTTGTATGGTTGGAAAACTACTGAGGCCTCTTACTTCAGGAGTGAATTTATGAGTGTCAGACAACAATTTACTTAGTCTTGCGTAAGGCGGTTTTGTGTGTGGCATGGATTCTGTATTCTTGCGCTCCGAAATGTATTTGGCTTTCGAAAATTCTCCTTGGCTTTAAATGATTTGACGTAAAAGAGATAACGCCACGCTCCATGTAGCTCAGTCTCGTATACGTTGGCTTGTAATTCGAACCATTGGAAAGATAGCTACAGAATCCTTTGAAACGATTTTCCAGTTCACTCCTCCAACACAAATTCTCATCTCAACGGATATCAGGACGCCAAAATTGCAGAGTGGAATTTTCTACATTGTACAGGACGCATGGTTATCTACATGATGGCCTAGATATCCTCGGAGATGATTTGACTTTGCCGCGGAAGAGACGCTGTTTCTTTTGTTTCAATAACGAAAACGTGAGCTGCACCAGAAGGATATCCACGGTGCGCATGAACTCCACCTCGTTGGTTAGTTTTGGAGGTAGTATCACTGGGGTGGAATAAAGATATTGATGCGGAAGTAATAAATAATAAATAAATAAATAAATAATAAATAATCNTAATAAATAAAGTAATAAATAATCACAAGATTCATCACCAGTTGAATAGGCTTGATTCAACGAAATAATACTGCTGTTTTGTCTTAGTCTGGGAGCATGGCGGATAAAATGGTTTGGTTAGTGTTCAGGTGGCCTGCCGTGCAACCAGCCAAATTGTCAGTAAGCAGGAAATCCGCCTTCACTGAGAAGCTCCACATTCAAACAGAAAAGTTGATGGCCACCGAAGAATGATTCCAAATAAATGATTTCACTGTATTGGAGTTCTATTAGTTAATTCATTATACATGAAAGTACTCGCCTTACCGTCAAATTATTCCAGATTCTCATGGTTAATAACATCCAAGTTAACGTTGACGGAGACTGAGGTCTGAATTTGTCGCTACGTGTTGCCGCACATGTCTTTTAGGTAGATGTCATGGGTCAGCGAAACATAATGTGAGCATCCCGAATCAAACCCGAGGCACAGATCACACGACAGTAAAAGTCTGTCAAATGACAAAAATTTCGTCAACCAACCAATCAAAATAGAGAAATACAGTGTATTTTCGGGTATAAAGTACATGGATGTAAAAAGACGCAATTAGCGTCGATCAGTAGAAATGGAAGTGACAATCGAGAAATCAGGAAGTGAAGCCAGCAGAAAAATCTGTATTCCAGTCAACCCCAAACAGGATCTGAGACAAATATTCAACTGGTATGACGAACACATCAGACATGAAAACGACTCCCTGCTTTTTGTAAGCATCGTCAAACCTCAGTTCACAATGCCTGTTTTGGTTGGGACCGCAATTAAAATCCCACGTACCAATGTGAATCGGGGGAAAGAATTATGTCGTGAGGCGATGCGGCTTGCAAAGAAACACGGATTCAGGGCAAACTCGTACACCTACGTTGGCACGAATCAACAGAAGACTCTGACACAATGTTTAGGAGAGTTGAAACCAGACCTGGTTCTAGTCGAAAAGCAAATGAAGAATATAGTTCTGCGAAAACTTACTGGGGATTGTCAAGTGCGCGCCGTCATGGCATCACAAAATTGTGTTCTTATTGTACTGCCACCACTGGCTTGACTTGTGCATATGCCTGGTTTTTAATTTTTGTATATACCTCTTGTATTATATTCCTTGGTTCACCTAGACGCTACCGTTTCCCTTGACTCAGCCGCCAAAGACTTTTGAACTGGTTTCCGTATTTATTTAGAACGTGAAAAGGATCAGAACACCGCTATGATGTTTTTTTGCCAGTTAAGGACATCAGTCATCGCAGATGTCATGGGAATCTCACAGTAAGACTTTTATGCATCGGCAGACGACGGTGTGCCGTGTGTGCTTTGAAAATCTTTAGGTGTCCTTCGTATGCCAGCGTGTTTCACGGTGTCAGCCTGATCTGATTTGATTTACTAGTATTAGTGCTTCAACCAGTTGCGAGATGTGCTTTGGCTTGTCCCTGAATCCCACCACTGTAATGGGATGTCACTGGATATCCGGTAGCTCGGTTACACACGGTCGTTCGTTCTCAAGTAGGATCAGTCCCTTAAATGTTGAGCCCAACCGAGCAATAAAAAACTAAAACAGACCAATTCTTCCAATCTTAGGCGAGAAAATTCTAAAGTTGCGTTGAAATGGCATCCAGACGTAACCCGCAGAATATATTCTGCAGCGATCTTTCCACTTCCACTTTGTAAGTAATTAGTAATGTTCCATTCGAGATTGTAGCGGGAGTACCTAATGAACTGTAGTTTTAGTCATGTTGTTCTGAAGTGTGGTCCGTTCATTTTGTGACGTATCAACTTACACAGAAAGCATTTTTCTGTAATTTGCCGGCAGGACTTTAGGTAAGCAAAACAACTTCCACTAATCTTTCGGTGTAGTTTACTCTGTTGAGAGTGAATGCGTTTGACAAGATAATCGTTTCGGTATAATTTGGATATTACACTTGGATATGAACCTTTACATTTTCCGGCGTCCCATCCTTAAAATTTCTTGGTTTCCAAAAGAAAATCTGGTTGCGTTGGCAAACTAGTTGAACAAATACATTCATCAGCAGATCAATTCAGTTTTCACGGGAGACTCGAATGAACAATATCATAAACGAGAGATTCGGTCGAGTTTCCCGTAAAAATTAAATTGATTTGCCAATGAGTGTATTTATCGAAATAAATCTGGTTTTAGTTCATGTAGAAAATATGGTTGATGGAAGCTCCCACCTCATGAGCCCCGAGAAGAGCAAAACTTGTCGTGGGCTGTGGATGAGTTCTCAGCAATCTTAGGAATAGTTTCCTTTATGAAATATATATATCCCGAATATCGTACAAAGTGAAACATGAGGTGGCCTTTGCGCAGCACATCCGATTTAAAAGTATCTTAAATGACAGTAGTTAGATTAACGATGGCTCTTTATTTGTGGTTTTCACCTACGAATAAGCAAACTTTGACCCTGGTTTGGCGAAACGTCAGTCAGTGGGTCACGGTGTAAGGCTGATATATAGTAACATTAGACAGGGACACAAATGCACATGTAAGAGTCCTTGGGTTAACGAAGATAGTTCTTGGTAGCGCATACAGTTTAGGCGATAAACATGATGATAACAAGCGATGATATTAGCAACTTCAACTCGACCACTAGCCAGTTCTCATTAGGCGCTGTGATGACATCTTGCTTCCTCCTAATGCTAAGCAGCCACTAAGCCAAACTGATAATAGAGCCGTTAGCTTACGTGAGGCCGTTTATTTCCTGACGTGACGGTTCAGCTCATGCTCTCAAGAATCTTAGATTTTCCTCGAATTTTTCACGTGGAGCAACGTAGAATTCGGTGGCGGAATTGTGTTCTGACCTATGTTTACTGGACGGCTCAAAAGGCGATGGACTACGAATAAGCTCCTCAAAGAATATTAAACCCTAACGGTAGGAACTAATCATCTGTACATGACAGGAATAACTGTGCTTGAGTTTTTCTTGAGCGCACCACAAAAGGTCAGTGAATTTCAGAACGGTCATTGTTGCACTTTGCCCTAAAATGTGTCAGTCTAGAGGAATTTGACGATACTTTGCTCCGGCAGCATATTAACTATCAGCTCGGAAACAAAGCCATCGTGTGAACGGAGAAGAACGCGAAAGAACCAGAAATGACGGGAATTAATGCAGTTGGCAGTGTCCGAAACCTGTTCCAGCATATTCGTAAAGCGCTTATGAGGTGCCGTTTCGGCAACAGTGTGAATCATGTTTTCATGTTTTCTTATTTAATAAAATTCGGGGTTCATATCCCATGGAAAGATATTTATGAGAAACGTTTAGCTGTTTTTCTGCTAACGAGCCGGATAAGATGAACTGTGGCATATCGGTTCGAGGCATTCTTTAGTTTTCGAAATACTAGTTGGCTTCTCTACCTTGAAATCTGTGCTACCTGGCTTGACCAGCTTAGCCACCTAGCTGTCCCGAGCTACCAAAACTAGTGAAGTTTGATGCGACAGGGCTCTATGAATATTTTCACTCATTATTGACACTGATACAACCACGTAGTGCGTATTGGTAGGATCCTATTTTTAGGAAGCAAATGTGCTCCTATGGAGCTCCTGGCGCACCGAAGTACACGGATGGTATCGACTGAGTCCGCACAATCTGGTAATGCATTGATTCGACAAGCGTTTTAAAGCTGCACAATGCAAATTCCTTTCAAAAGATTTAATGTCCCGTTGTGTCACTCTACAAATCTGAGGAAGACAAATTTAGATGTTACACTGGCGGTGAGTGAGTTGGTAAAATTGAAGTTACTGGTAAACCTCTAGGCATTCGTTATACACTGCATGTGTCTCGGTGGAAGGAGCGGATTTAAATGCGTTTCAACCGTCGCGTATACAGGATAGCCATAAGTGCTTTTCATCATTTGATTAAAACTCTGCGCACCTGAGACTTCAGGTGCCTCCGAAAGTTGAAAATGGGCCCCCGTTGGTTGATTTCTGTTAGTTGCCCCTAGTATGTTCGTATAAGAGGTGAAACTGAGCGGGTACTTGCGAACAGAGAAGAACCATCAGATCAGCAAATGAACTCATCAAGTCTCACTGTTTTGTTGCCTGTATTCCGCACTCTACAAACGAAGTCGATGAGTTTCGTTCCGAGTCCGTGTTGGCGGAAGGTTAAAGGAGGACAGACCATGATTTAGCTTGATGAAAGGAAATCAGCTAGAATCGAACTAGGTGCTGTTGAATTTGTCTTTTAGCCTGGGGTTTACGTGACTGTGCATGTATGTAGTCAGATAGCATGCAATATTTTGTACGTAACCGAATCCAGCGGGATTCATGTCGTTCAAACGTAATGCAGACACCTCATCATCGATGAATTTTTCACCAGCTCCTTACTAGTGTAGTGCATCCTTGTGGAAGTAAGCTAACAGAGCATCAGCATCACCTCAGATGACGATCAATATACATACCGATCGTCCCTCATGCGTTTCGGACGGAAAAGAACCACTTTCTTAGATGAATATTATGGAAAAACAAGTTGGGATTATAACAGCATGTTTGCAGCCTTTCTTAACATTTTTGGAAAACACTGTGGTCCATTTTTCACTCAA